CAACCTTGCCCAAGAGGTGTGTGCTATCAGTGACTAGCCCAGCCTAGCATCCTCTGGCGTTGGATGAGTCCTCCTTGCTCAAAGCAGGTTTCTGGGTGGGTTTGATTTCTTTTTCTACCGGTGCAGCTGTGCAAGCTCTCTTTCTTTTGCTGGACTTGGGAAGAACTGGTGCCCTGTTTTGTTACTCTTTGAAAAATCAAACCCCAAGCCCAGTCCTTTCCTCCTCTGATGAAATGTTCACTTGTTTGGTGTTGTAGGAGACAGATTATTTTCACTTGCCTGATGTGCTTGTTCTTAATCCTCAGAAACATGTTCTAGTCAAGTGCAAAATTGTATATCAATATAATTTTAATACTCCTCTGAAAATGGATCCTAAAATGATGCATTGGGATTCCATCTATTTTCTCATTGATTTTCATGTCCCATATGTTTAGCTTAGCAGGAATGCACTCTTCCTCTTTCACCCCTGCCAGAAGTAAGGTTTCTGCAGAGCAGGTGTGGCCACGACCTCCCTCCCTTTACTGGGGTGGCCCATTGCTTTCCATGGCTTTGCACCAAAACAGTGAATTAAAGCATAGCACCAGGAAGAATGCCCCAAAAGGAGTGAAATCCATTACATGGTCTTCCCAAATTACACTGCAGGTTTCAGGGGTGTGGTGAATGCTGGTAAGAGTTTATGCATCTGCAGATGTAGACTCTAATGAAGATGTGCAACATGGAAATATTATAAAAAAAGTAGCAAGAGCTGCAAATCCATGGTACAGAGGCTACACTGAAAACCATCTGCAAGACTAAAGAGTTTACGCTGCAAGAGAACTTTGAGTGCTCACAAGGAACAAAAATGCTGGAAAGGCCATTTGGAGTCTGGCAAGGATTACTGCAAATTATGAAACACTTGAACACATACATGTGTTTGGTGATGGAAGCTGCCAAAACATCAAGGAGAGCATGCATCCCCAGAAATGGATTATGCCATTTCCCCATGGTTGCTGGGCAGTGTGACGCTGAGGGTGGTTTTTCTCACTGCTAAATGTGTTATAGCCTCGTTACCTGGCAAGGCTCTTCCACCTCTGGGCAGCAGCAGCTGAGGGAGTGTGATAACACAGATTTCTGAGGGGTCCTGGGCCATGCAGGCAGGCAGGGATGTGTCTCAGCTCCATGGGACTGGGGCTGCTCCCAAAGGACATCTCAATCTCTGCTGGCACTGGGAGAGGGAGGTGAGTAGGGGCCCTGAGAAGTATTTCCCTGCTCCTCTCTACCGAAGGAGGCAGATTTGTCTCAAATAAGGTGATGTGTGCTTGAAAAGACTAGATTGAGTCAGGTGGTGCTTTGGGAGAGCTCTGACTTGCTGTCCATCTAGTAGACACTCTGCTAAATGTGTGTCTTGACATATAAAGGTGCAAGCAATTTAATCAGCATAATTCAATAAACGTGTATGCATAACCGTGAAAAAGGAATCTTACACAAATTGGCATTGCATTTTTGCTCAGTCTAGAGTGTCTTCATTTTGAAGTTGCATATTAAATTTCCTGGATGCTTGCAGCACCAAATTAAGCGTTTTTTCAAGCATTTTTTCTGGTTCAAGCAGTTCTGGATTCCCTGCTGTCTTCCTCAGTTTTTCTCTCCGGCACTCTCTTGGCCTACCTGGCTCTTTCATTTGCATATCAAAGAGAATATTTAATTAGTTCCTTATTGCTGCTGTTCCTATCTTTCTCTTTCCTCTCAGCAAAGGCTTAATCTTCCTTCACACACAGTTTTGTCAAAGATCATCCTATAATAAATAGTTGGGATTTGCTTCAATAATAGTGAAATAAGGTATTCTGCAGGTTTCCTTCCCATTATAGAAAAAAGGGCAATGAGTCATTGTTAATCTATAGTCTGAATCTGAAGAATCCTTTTAAGGAAGACTCATTGGTCTCAGGTAGGAGTCTTGCTGGCACACCTATCATTTGTCTTGTGTAAACTATTGAAGGGAGGATGCAAAAAATAAAGGCACAAATGATCCCCCAGCAATACTGTATGACCTAAACTACAGGATAATATTTCAATACTCCTCCTTACTTGCCTTATAGACAGGTTTTAGTTCTAAATCAGAGTACCCTTATAAATAAATGTTCATCTGTAGAAAGGGTAGAATATGTTTTTTTTCATTTATTGCCATCACAAAATATTAGGTTTTATATTTAATAAATTATTATTGAATAAAAGTAAGTTTTCTATTCTCAGTATGTCTGAATTCTAGACTTCTGGAAAACTGGAAAGGTAGCTCAGTATGACATAATCTGTAATTGGCTTGCCAGTGCATGTTATTCACCTGTAGCATTAGCAGGTGAGCCCAGTACATTGCACAATATTTCTACAGTTGTTTTTTATTGCCCTCCAGAAACATGGGCCCACACTTCATCACATTTATTTATTTTAAAGTGTAAATTACAAATCTTCACCTACAAGGTCTGTGTGCTTCTTCTGCTATGTATTTAATGTAAATAATGAGAGCATCATGCTATCCTTATCAGCATATATTGTCTAAGTCAATGTGAACACATCTTGAGGTCAAGGGGCAGTCTTGAGTGTCTCTTTGATTTGTCCCTTGTGTCCAGTGGTCTGGTAATTAGCATTGGCTAAGTATTTACAGGAAGCTCCTCTTTTCTTTGATTTTGGTGAGTAGAGGAAAAAACAAAGCCACAGACTGCCTTTAATGGTTGGTTTTTGGTTTTTTGGTTTTTTTCCATTCCCCTGGTTTATGTGTTTCAAAAGATAGAACAAAGACTAAGCTACCACACTGTAGAAAGAGAATTTATTTTTTTTTTTATTTAGGGAGAAATGTAAATTGAATTGTAACTGCATTACCTCATATTTCTCTGATCTTAGTCTCAGATATGTTGGAAAAACAGAATTTTCTAAACACTCTTTAAGCCCTAAGAATCTGCCTCGTGCATTTCTGAGGTCAGGTTCATGAGGGTATCCTGCACCTGGTGGATTCAGTGCTTGGGGCAGGGTGGGTGCTGCAGACAGGCTGAAACACATGAATACCTGGCCAAAACAAAATACTTCATTTGAATTAAAAAGGAGGAGGAAGCAAAGCCAGTGTATACAGGGGAATGAATAACTGAGCAAGAGGATCACTGGGGCTCAGGTCTCACAATGTAATCTAACAGAAGAGGATAATTCAGTCTGAAATGGCTGAAGAGTAATCTAGCCTTCAAGTATAATGTAGCATTTTATTGCATAATTTCTAGGTTTTTGTAAACTCTTCCCTATAATTTAGGCTAAAAGCCTAATATAATGTAAGCCTAATATAATAACGTGAGTAAGATTTGCTTTGTTTTCCCCTTATGGTGATAAGTTCCAGTAAAGCTCTCCCTAATGGTGTAAACAGATGACCAGAACAGGAGAAGGACTGAAGGCACAAAAAACCCAAAGGTGTTAAAGCAGTGCATATGGCATGACAGCTAAAGGGTTGCCAAAAAACCCAAAGAACCCAAACCAAACTACCTTCTAGAAATAATCCCAACCAATTAGGCAGCAAAGAAATAATGATGAAATAGAAGAACTGCTTTAGAGGGATTGCTTGCTGTTACTGCTGCCACATGAATAGACTCAGCTCTCTGTGAAGACAATGAGTGTGAAGTAATTGTAGCTGATTAGGAATATCCCTGTGTAGACTGCTTTCCACAGTGTCATGCTGGTTGCCTCTCTTTCTGGTGTGGAGTGCTATCTTTGCATTGTTTCTTACTTCTAATCACTTGATCCTCTAATGAGTATAAAGCAATGATTTTCATATGTACATTAGTCACACCTTTCCTCTCAGTTTTGTGAAAAACAGGAGCTGCGCTGATGGTAACTCAACATGAACCTGTTATTTCAGTAAAAGAAGTGATAAAAAGTTCCTGCAAAGCAGGAGCCGTGGGGAGAAAGAAGGAGAGCCTTCCTGCCACCAGCAGAGCCTTTTCATATTTTATATCACATATTTTTATGGATCTTGGGGCAGAAGGTCTTTCCAGTGACTTCTGACATTAAAGGTTCCTTGCTGTACTGCTTCATGGGGATTTTAGGATATTGGTTTATAAAACTGGCTTGTCTGCTTGCAGAACATCATTTTATAAAATGTCTTGTAGGCACCACAGGTTCTGTTTCTAGGCAATATCTGTCTATGTTTTCTTAGGCTTTGAAAAATTAATACAGTAAAAATATCAAGACTTCAGATGAAAAATCTGACCTTTAAGGTAACTCTCTGAGGGAGAATTATTGTAGTTCACAAATATTATGCTCGGTTTAAAATGTTAGTAAAAAGCCTGCTTAGTGTCTTAAATAGAGTATTATGATATCTTAATGATAGATACTTCTTAACTGCTTGTATGTCATTGTGCAAATCTGTGTCTACTCCTGGCTCTGTAAGAAAAGTAGCTTTTCTGAAAGAAAAACATAGCTTTAATTGTAAAAACCTTGTATTTCTTTGCATATAGTTTTCTACTGACAGGATAAAAAAAGACAGTTGTTTGGCCCATCACACTTGAGGGATAATTTGAAACTAGTAAACTTTTATGCCAAATTCTTCTTCTCCTGAATAATTCAGGTCTGTGTGTACATAGCATAGTGCTTTTGTTTAATGACTTAGTATCTATCTAATTAACTAAATAACTGGGGGGGAGGGGCTTAAGTTAAATATGAAAATGAAAAATCCGTTCCTAAATGTTGAATAGTTTTGTCTTTCAGTAATTCTGATTCCTTGAGTGTCAGAAAGTTTTAAAAACTTTGAACTGAATGTATAGATATACTATAAACATCTTGTCCAGTTGATATTTTACCTCTTGTCTTTCATTTAACTGGAAATCAAAGGTAACTTAAATTGCAAATGGGTTGTTTCCTAGTCTCATGGGGACACTCCACTGTCCTGGTCATATTTAAATTTGATTGCTTGCTATCTCATTTTTGGAAAGAAGCGTCTACCTTCACTCTTTATTTATCTTAATGTTTAATTGTATTGCTTTTTTCTGTAGGATTGTGGAAAAGGGGTATTACAGTGAACGAGATGCTGCTGATGCTGTCAAACAAATCCTGGAGGCAGTTTCTGTGAGTATTATCTGGCATCTCATGCTCAGCACCTGATCTGTCATCCATGGTGGCTCAATAAATACTTGTGTGTGAAAGAAGCAGTGTGCATTTTTAAGGTAGTCAGTGACACTTCAAAGAACTGCACTTTAATCAGAATGACAGTATTGTTGGAGAGAGCAGAATAATAATTGTTTCCAGTAGCTTGTGCAGCTTCTAATATACCTTCTTCCTCTTTATGTTTTGTGCATTTCAAACACTGGGATTTTTGTACAACAATTTCACACTCTATCACTTAGAGAAAGGTATGCAGATTCTTGAGGAAGGCTCCTAGTGTTTACACACAGGACTTCTGTACATTTTCTGTGCTTCTTAGTCACCTGTAGCCCTTCCATCTGATTTCACACCAGATGTTCTCCAAAACAGCAATCAGATGCTGGGGAAATACTTAAGAAATGGATTTGTCCCATGTCCAGTGTATGTGTTAGTTCTGTTCACTCCCAGTGCAGAAGAGGAGGGACGTGTTGGACAGGGGAAAAGAGAGGTCAGGCTGCGGAGCTCATCTGAAGGATGTCAGTGGTAAGGCAGGTGCTGTACAGGCCACCTATGGAGATTCAGCATCAAAGGAGCTGTCTTAGAAAAGGACTTGTGGTGGTGACTGGCCTCTGCAGAAGGGGTCTAGAGAGGAGAAGATTACTGGTTACAGCAGTAATTTGGTTCATCAGAAGAAATGAGCCAATCTGGGCACGTTCACCTGGTATGATAACAAAGTTATCATCAAAGGTAACAAATACGTGAGCCTGCTCACACTAAATAAGATGTGAGAACTGGTGTTTACAACTCTAATAGCACATACTGCAAGCCCATGCATGTTCACTTCATGATCCCTTTTGAATGATCTGATGTCTACTGTGTAACTCTCATCCAAAGAAATCTAAATTATGTATTTTACAGCACATCCTAATGCATTTATATAAACTTTTAAAATTGGCTCAAATGACTATTTAATTTCTAATTTTTTCTTTCACTTCAAGTGCCCCAGTTAAGATGGCTCTGCATTATTTAACATTCTTTTACCAAAAAAAATATGATTAAGTTTTGCTGCAACATATTTCAGAAGATGTTTAAGTTCTTTATTTTAAAGCCAGAAACAAGAGAAAAATCTTCAGCTTCTAACAGTTGTAATAGTTTGCTGAAATCAACAGTGATGTATGAAAACTGAAAACTGAAAAGCTGATTCTTATATGAGCAATAATTAGGATTTCTATGGTTCCTTGTATGAGATCCTTAACTAGAAATAAAGTGTATTGACTTCTGCCCTTACAGCTGAACATCTGAGCCAAAGATGGAAAAGCTGTGGAAGTGGCCGTTCTCAGCTTGGGATCTTTGCAGACCTGCTGAAGTACTCTGATAGATTTGGGCTATAAACTTGGCAGAATGGGGTTCATGAGCAGGACAGGAGTTATTATTAGAAACTGGAAACTGCTGCTGCAGCAGAGTAATCTTTTCAAAATAAAAAGAAATGTATCCATAGATCATTCTTAAAACCAAATATTTGTACAATTTGTACAAAAGGCAATGCTAGTGAATACCCTTCTGGCACCGTGTAGGCTTTTTGACCTATGTGATTTTTATAAATTGCTCTTTGAAAAAGCAGCATCCAGCCCTCCTTTTGCTGACCTCTCTTGAACTAAATGTTTTTTAAGGCCCCTGTGCAGGCTGTTGCTATGGTCATGGATTTGTCCTTGCAGTGGATCACGAACACGAGGAGGTATTATGTCTTCATATAGCAAAGGTTTTTATGAGACACTTCTAAGAATTTAATGAGAAGTGTAGAGTCATATTTTAAAAGCACATAAGCATTTTTTATTCAATTCCTTTTGAAATTGTTAAAGCAAATGGACTAAATAACAGATTAATCCATAAAGTTTCTAGGTCTGTCTGGTTTTTGTAATACCTGAATACCTGTAAGCCACGCTCTTACTGGCTTACAAATAATTAATCAAGCAGCCAGAGTAGCACACAGAAGATTAATGTGAATCTTCATGTCACAAATCATCATAAATATATGACAGACATCTGTCATATCATCCCAAATCAGAGAAAAAACGAAAACCAGTACTGTTTTGAAGACCTCCACATTCATTTTGCCTTTTTTCATGACTTTCTGCTGTTTACATCTGCTCTGGAGTTCCCAGCCAGCGACTGTATTTACCCTTAGTGGAAACACATCAGATTTTTTTGCTCTCTCTTCCACATTTTTGCCTTTTCCATTATTCTTTCATTGTTCTTCAAGCTGGGAGATAGCTTAATCCATAAAATAAAAAGCAAAGGTACAAAAGTCAGTCAAACCAGTGTTCATCCCTTTAGCCCTTGTGATTTGCTGTTCAAAGCAGACAGAGAGGTTTTGTTGCTACCTGACAGCACAGGGAGATGAGATGGAATCCCATGATTCCATGAATGAGTTTCATGCCTAAAGAGGAGGCATTTGAGGGCAGTCTCTCTTGTCACACTATTGTCCTTTCTCTCCTCTCAGGGAATGAGTTGCATGCAGTGTGGTCTACTCGCATACTTACTCTAGTAGCAGTTTTTCTTAATTTTTTTTGTAATGAATGAATTTCTGCATGCAGATGTCCTGAGGCCAGATCTCCACTGGGTATCTTGCAGAATGAGTTTTTGATATTTTGGTATCCAAGTAGTCCTCAAAAGATTGGTCACAAGAGGAATATTGCACACTTTTTTAAGAGAAGAACACACACCTATTTTTTAGCTGATCAAACTTTATAAAATTACAGTGATTTTTTTTTTAATGTGTTTTTTAAAATGTTGTGTTTGTCACTAAAAATAAATGCTGTTCCTTCTTACCTACTCTGCATTATTGTCAAAGGGATAACTTTCTGCTTAGGCACTAAATTACTCTTTTCAATATATTTAAATTCGAAATTAAGCATAACAGTTTAGTTTTTGTATTTAGGGTAGTTAGTAGCATACATACTGTATGTAGTTTTGAACTCATCCATTTCTAAATTAATTTCCCATCAAATTTTACAGTAATTTGTTTTCTTAGACTGCCCATTATCTTGTCTAGATAGGAACATTTTCCTGAAGTTATATGTGAGACTCCCTCAGTTTCTTTTTTTTTAATTTAAATTTTTTACCACTTCAAGCTTCATTATAGATTTGCATTTCTGTTCAGATCCTTGTCATAAATTCACTGGGAGAATGCTGAATTGTCAGGCATGGTGGCAAAGCCTGAGGGCACAATTTGCTGCAGGTTTGAGAGAGAAAATCTAGATTGAAGGTCTCTATTCATTTCAGAGAATTTTGATCTCTCCAATAATGAACTGTATGTTATTAGGTAAGAACCTACCTACAAATATGCAGCTTGCAAGCATATTTACAAACTCTGAAGCATTGGTCTGTCTGACAATTAGAGCTTAAGCCAAATGTGCTAATCAGACTTCTAAAGACAGGATACGAATCAAGAGAATTTGTATTTGGGGGGTTTGCCATTCAAAGAAAATTGTACAAGAGATAAAGATTATGCAGAGGTTTCTCTTTTTTTTCTATGTAATCACTGAGTTAGTTCTTGGTGGAGATAGAGACAGCGAATATATTTTTGTTTTAGCCAGCAGCTACAAGGTGAACTTAACTGAGGTGTGATTGTCATAGGTTTGTGAAATTCTGAACAAGGCAAATGTGTTACATTATCAATATATACTTAGCAAAGGCTAAAAAGGCACACCAAATAAAAGGATAAGAATTGGGAAGAAACCTGGAGCTCAGTTCTGTAGAAAATTAAGTCAAAATTCACAGAAGAAGATGGCAGGGATGCCTAGGTATTACAGCAGAGGATAAAGACTTGTCTAAAATAGTAGCAAAATTTAGGAATACTCTATGGAGAAAGAAAAGTCCTACACTTGATTGAAGAAATTGAAGAGCACTGACTTCTTCTCTTTAGAAGATTTTGAAAAGGATTTTCTTCTCAATAGAAGAGGCATTTGTACCTTCAGATTTCTCCCCATTCACTGATGAATCCTGAGTGTTTTCCATCCTCCCTCTGGCAGTGGAGTGGTTTTCTGAGTCTGTTCCTGGCATAAGTGTTTTTATCCATAAGGAGGAAGTTAAGAAACAGCCACTGTTGTGATCTAAGACTGCCCACCAAGTCCTGCTTTTCTGAGGGGGAAACAAAGGGAAATGCAAAATTCTTCTGCCAAGTTTTCTGTATGTTTACTTGAAAGCGTAATTTAAGAAGCTTGCAGGTTTAGGCCAGATTCAGTGTGTCTTTAGCTATGTGGTTGTTGCTAAGGATGAATGCTTGATACCATAAGACAAGGAATTTGCAAAGGATTATTGATATTTTACTGTATTCCCTGGGAGTGTGGTCCACTTCCACCATTCTCCTTTTTACAGGATCATTGCCTCTTGAAGTAGCATAAATACTACTTTAGTGGTGGTTGTATTAGACCACAGAATAAAGAGGTTCTAGCAATATTTCCAAAAAGGACTTCTATAATAAAACATGCCTCACATGCAAAATAAACCCTGGATATCAAGGCAGAGTGTCTGACATAGAGGAGGAGTGAAATAAAGGGACAATCTATTGTTTGCTTGCATTGTATCTTAAAATACAGTGAAAGCAGGCAAGGACTGATGGCTGGATTGATATCAGGATGTGTTTTGCAGGTCAATTACATTCATTTTTCCCTGAACTGGGAGTATTGCCATTGGCATGGTGTACAATTTAATGACTTGTAGTAAGAAATAACAACATCTGCCCATTCTACAGCATTGTTGTTGGGTTTTTATTAAATAAAAGATAATTTCTATTTGATCTAGTCTAGGCACAAAACGCTTCTTTCTTCAAGATTTGTTTGTGGGGCTTGAAGGTGAATCTTCTTGGAGAGGGGTGGTTTAACACATTATGTACAGAGATGACTGCATGGAAGCTTTTCTTCCATTTGGTGACAACATTCATCAGTGCCCTGAGAGACTGTTCTGTCACACTGCTGTTGGGAACA